GGATATCTGAGTATGGATAACACATACATACATATATATATATATATATGTATACACACACACCCCTTTATATAAGTGCATGTATCCATGTGTGCACACACATCCATGTGGCTATACATATGTGTGGATAATATGTACATATATATACACACCTATATATGGGTATGCATGCATATACACACCTATGTGGATATCTGAGTGTATGGATAACATATACATACATACACCTTATAAGTACATGTGTATGTGTGTACACACACACACACACACACACACACACACACACACACACACGGAAGGTGGTCTTTAAGAAAAAGTCAGAGGCAGCTGCAGCTTAGGGAATGCTCCCTGCAGAGGGTGGCCCTTTGCTGAGTTCTGAAGGAGGAGGAGTGTCCCCCTAGCCCCTGGCACCCTCCAGGCCCCAGGTCAGGGCCCCCCACTTCACTCGCTGCCTCCATCCCTGAAGCTCCCAGGCTCCCAGCTCCTGGCAGCTGCCCCTGGGTAGCTGAGCCCGGCACTGCCAGCCTGGCTGGCAGAGGTTTCTGCTAAAGGGGACAGAAAGGTGGCTAGGGGACAAATGACGACGAAGCGAGCATCACAGGGAACAGCATGACCTTGGCTTGGTTCTCTTTCTGGCAAATGCTGGGCCAGGTGACTGGGGTTTCTTGCCCAGAGAAAAGATCTCCCTGCTGAGGGGACACCTGCTCGAGGCCGGACAGAGGCTGGGCACTGGGAAGAGGCAGGAGGCTCTATCCAAGCCAAGCGGCAGCCAGGAAGCCTGGAGCCAGATAATGGGGGCAAAAACAAAGCTCTGCAAGGCGGACGGGGCGGTGAGATCAACGGATGTAACACATGGAAAGCGCTCCACAAACCTCAAAGTCTAGCTGGCAGAGAAATGCTAGTTATTGTTATTGATTCTTACTATAGGGCTGGATTTGGGTTCAAATTCCACCTCTGACACTTAGTACCTATGTACTGACCAAGTCACTTAACCTATTTGCCTCAGTTTCCTCATCTGTAAAACGAGGGGGTTGGACTCAGACGGCCTCTAAGTTTTTCCAGCACAAAATTCATGACCCTTTGACAAAATGAAAAAGTCCCTAGACCCAAGGGTTTACATTACGAGGGGGCACAAAATGGGAAAAGATAAGCCTACCCAGGATAATTTGAGTTACAGAGCACTAACAGCTAAGGGGATCAGGAAAGGCATTCCATGGGCAGAGCACTGAAGGATGCTAGGGGATCATAAGAAGTGGAGGTGAGGGTGCACATTCCAGGTACTGAGGCACAGCCTGGGCAAAGACACAGAGGCAAGAGATGAAGGGTCAAGCTTCTACCCCGTGGGAAGGCAAATTCAATTCAATGAAGATTTATTAAGTGGTGCTACACACAAACGAGCCAGTCCCTGTACTCAAGGAGCCAAAAACCACCAGTGTGGCCAGAAAGGCAGGTATGGGTTGGGGGAAAGGAGGCTGTAAAGAAAAGGCAGCTTTGAGTCAGGGACCATCCGTGCTTCTCCACCAGCAGGCCGAGGGCAGGCAGGCCCCAGGCTTCTGGGCTCACTTCCGAGCAAGGAGGATGGGGGGGCCAACAGGTACCTCTGCTGTAAGCAGCAGACAGGAAACACTCACCCAAATGGCCACCTCAGCACCAGTGAGTGACCTTCTGCGGTCACACCATAGGCCACAGGATCAGGAGGATATGCTGCCCTAGCTGAAACACACCGGTATCCACGCCATCCTGCCCCACCTACCAGACAGGTGCCCCAGGGCCCAGTTTGCTCACCCCAGGAAAGCCCCCAAAGGCTTCTGAAAGAAAGCTGATTTATCTCTTCCAGTGGAACGTCCTCAAGTTTTAGAGAGGGGAAGGGAGGGAAGGAAGGTTCCAGCAACCCCCCACCCCCTACTCAGAGATGAGCATGCTTCCTCTTTTCAGTCTGCATTCTCTAGAACTGGAAAAACAAAAAGCCAGGGACATCAGACATCGCTCCAGAGGTAGCCACGACCCAGAGAGGGGAAGAACAGGACACAGCAGCCAGAGGTCCCAAATGTGGCAAAAGCCAACACTGAAGGCCACGGAGGCTAAAACTGGGATTTAAACAGTAAAAAGACTTTGTGCCCACAGCCTGCCTGGCATCCAATACTGATGCATCTCCCAGCCCCTTCCCTTGCCCACCAAGTGAGATGCCTCCCCTTGGAGATTCACACATGACTCACTGTGACTTTCATTCTGGAGCTCTCGGACCCCACAGTTAACCAGGGAAGGGGAGCAGACTCCCTTTGACTTCCGTCATGGGATGGTGAGTGACCGGCACACAGTCACCTGAGCGGCCAGGCCTGCCAGCAGGGGCCTTTCCTTCTCATCCCAGCCCCCTCCCCAGCCTCCTTCCATAAACGGGAGGGACATCAGTCTCCTAGGTCAGGTCCTCCCTCAGTCATCCACCTAACATCTACAAACCTAGACGTGCGGTCTGTGTGGCTCATTGTGTGGACTGAGTGCCAGGGATGAGGCCCCTCCAAAAACAGGGTTCAAGTCCTCTCTCTGGGACTTACCGGCTGTGTGGTTCTGGCCAAGGTGATTAACCTCTCTGCTGTCTAGTTACCTCATCTGTAAAATAGGGATAATGCTTGTGGTAGACCTACCTCCCAAGGTCAGGGTGTCTGGGTTGTTTTTTCTTTAAAGAGGCAATATGAACACTAGGAGTCAGGGGGACCCGAGTTCAAATCTGGCCTCAGACACCTACTTTGTGTGACCTCTGGGCAAGTCACTTCACTCCGTCTGCTTCAGTTTCCTCATCTGTAAAATGAGATCAGGTGACGTCTGAAGCCCCTCCATCCCCAGAGCCAGTGAGTGGTGGGCCCTGGCCACTGGCCACTTTACCCTCTAACCAAGGGTTCCATTTCTGACCTCAGGCAAGGTAGCCCCCAAAGCCTGGGAAAACAGCAACTCGCCAGCCATGTAAATTGCTCCTTTGCAAGCTTAGCCTGCCAAGACTTGCTATCTAATTGCTGTTAATTGCATTGATTACACAGCTCAGAAGTGTCAGCTTCCACCTCCTCAGCCCCGGCAAGGGCAAAGGAAAAAAATATTAACAACAATAACCCAAAAATCCCAACCTCCTCCAACAGATAGACACATACACACACCCCTCCCCACTCCCCCCAGGAATCCCAAAGACACAGGAGGAAAAAGCCAAATTGAGCGTCAGGAGCTGGCTGGACTTCTATCGTCTGAGACCCGATGAGAAAGCTTGGGATAACAGGCTTTGATCCATTTTTGGGGGGAGGGAGGTAGAACTTAGGAATGGCTCTCAGGGTTCCACAGCAGACTGCTATCTTGGTAGGTTTCTAGAACTGGAGTTGAAAAGGACCTTGGAGACCATGTAGTCCAACAACTCCCTCATCGTGCAGAGGAGAAGAGTGAGGACCAGAGGAATGAGGTGCTCAGGGATCACACAGGTAGTGTTAAAGGTCTGCCTTAGGTCCACAAAGCCAGTAAGAAGAAGAACCAGGATTTGAACCCAGGTCCTCTGGCTCCAAGTTCAGCCCTCTTTCCACAACAACAGGAGGCCACCCATTTTCCAAGAGAATCAAGATACTTAGAGCTGAAAGAGCCGCTAGCCCAACTGTGCCCCTTGAGGATGAAACTGAGGTACAGAAACAGTAAGTGACCGGTCCAAGTTCACCCATCTCACAGCCTCCCCAACTTCGGATGCTTTGGGAAACCAGCCTCGAGCCAGTCAAGCAAGACTGAGTGAGCGCAGCTCGGACAACAAAGTCTAAGCTTCTTCTGCCTTTGGCTGGCAGAGGGAAGAAGGGAAACGGGACCCAGGCAGACCCCTGGGCAGAGAAGCAGTGCTCAGACAGATAAAGCCCCTGGAGCTTCCCTCCTCAACCAAAAAGACAAGATAAACAGATTCAGTAGGCCTGGTCTCCTTGGCCAAGTCCCTCGTCCTCACAGAGGCTGGGTTAGCTTGGATCCCCACCCCCTGGAAGGGTCACACCCTCTCCCTAACAGCCTGGATCCTGGGCCCTCAGAGAAGCCTTATCACCAGGAAGCCAGGTGTATGGCGGGTAAGGGATGAGCTGAGCAGCCTTTCTTTTCGAGGCAGCCTCCCAAGAGGGAGGCCAGCCAGGGCTGACAGCTATCACCTGCAGTACTAGGGCACACACTGCACAGATGGCCAGGTTGTGTGGGGATCCTTACGGCTCTAAGTGACACCAAAAGGGGTGGTCCCCTAGTTGGCAGCTAGGTAGAGAAGGGACATGGAGGTGGAAATGGGGAGCTAGGAATGGAACAGAGTTGGGGAGTAGTCCATCGAGGATGGGGAGGGGAGGTCACCCAGAAAAGAAGCTACCTCTGAGGCTCCTGCTTCCCCTAGGGGGCACCTCTTCCCTCCCCAACCCAGAGGTTTGTTTTCCTCTCTGAGACCTGACCACCTACCCATGAACCCCTCCCACCCCCACAGCCATCAACCAACTTTCTCAAGCAAGCTCGTGTCTGTGTGTGCGTGTGTGTGTGAGAGAGACAGACCGATAGAGAGAGAGACAGAGAGACTGAGAGACACTGAGAGACAGAGAGACACAGAGAGAGAGAGAGAGAGAGAGAGAGAGAGAGAGAGAGAGAAAGAGAGAGAAAAGAGAGACAGAGAGACACTGAGACAGACAGAGAGAGAAGGAGCAGGGACAGATGAGAGCAGAGTTAGTGCCAGGGAATGGGCTCCGCCTGCCAGGGATCCACGGGTGCGTTCCCCCCAGTCCCTTACCGGCCAGAGGGTCTCGGAGAGAACGGACCACAACAAGGGGAAGGGCCCAGCCCCGGGCGTGCATGCACAGAGGGCACGGGGCTCCCCGCTGTGTGCCCCGGGACAGACCCAGGCCCCAGCCCCGGGAAGGCCCTGGGGTGGGGGCGGGGAGGGGGCTGGAATGCAAGCTCCGGGAAAGGGAAGGGACACGCGGGAGGTGGGATACCGCGCTCGCTCCGAACCCCCCGGGCCCCACCTGCAATTCCTGGAATTCCTCCTCCAGCTCGTGCCACTCGCGTTCGCATCGCTCGAGCTGCGCGAACATGGTGCAAGGCGGGCGGTGGCGGCGGCGGTGGCGGCGGCGGTGGCGGCGGCGGCGGCTCCTGCTGCAGCTCGAGCCCCGTCTCCGCCGCACACCCCGCGCACCCCGCGCGAGCTCCTCCCGCCCACGCCCTCGTCCGGCACCAGCTGTTCCTGCGCGGCCCGGAGGCACGCCCCCGGTGACGTCACGCACACTCCGTCCCGCCCTCCCCGCGCAGCCCGGGGCGGTGTGGGGCTGGTGCGCACGCGCATGCTCCCTGACCCCTCTCGTCCCGGGCTCCCTCCTCTAAATGCCGGAGCTCCCCGGACGAGGGAGGCGCGCTGGCTGACGCCGATGCCCTCGTTCCCCGCTGGGATGCGCTGCCCCTCGCCAGTCAGGGCCAAGTCCTTTCCGCCAGGAGTGCTTCAGGCTGAAGTCTGAGCCCCCATTCCAGCCCCACCCCCACCTCGACTTGCTGTCTCGGCAGAGCCCGCCAAGGTCACTAGCCCGAGACCTACCCGAGGAAGGCAAGCAAGGGACCGCCTAGTCACCCTCCCACCCCCACCAGGCGGCATAAAGGTGGGCGTCATTTTAGCCCGTTCTAGAGGTTTTTGCTGGATTAGGAAGGGAAAAGCAGCTCCGCACCCCCAGCCCGAGACTTCTTTGTCCTGGGAGAAGGCACCTCCTTTACTTTTCCACCCGGATCTAGGATTACTCATGCGGGTGCATCTCGGCGTGGCAGCTGTTGGTTTCACTCCTGTTTGTGGAGGTTTCTGGTAACCCTCCTGCCCACATTTCTTTAGACTTTCAAAGCTGGAAAGCACCTTAGAGGTCATCCAAAGGTAGAGTCACGCATGAGGTTTTGAAGGTGAAGAAACTGTCAAGCCCAGCTCCAAGGGAAATATGCTTCAGTTCTCTCCCTCCCCCACCCCGCCCCAGACCCACGTTCCCACTAGGTCATAATCTAGAGCTGCAAGGCTGCATAGAGGCTACCTCTGGTCACCTTCTCCCCCCCCCCCGACCCCACTCAAACTCCTGTGGCTCCCTATTACCTCCAGGATGGGGCCCGGGGACCAGTGATGTGATTTTGAATGGTGGCAATTTGCGTGGCTAGAGGGGGTTACCGGATAAGGAAACTCCAACCAATGCAGGACAGAAACTTCTCTGCAACTTCAGAGTACTAGAAAGTGGGCTGGAGCCCTGAGAGATCAAGTGACTTGCTCAGGGTCACACAGCCAACATGCATCAGACTGGACTTGAATCCAGGTCTTGGTGGCTCCAAGACCAGATCTCTCATTTACTAGGACTGGCTTCCTAATTCCCTCTAGGATCAAATATCCTATATATATAAACAAATTCCTTTACTCCCTCTCATTACATAAGCATTTTAATATAATAATAATAATAATAATAACAATACCTAACACTTAAAAAGCATTTTAAGTTTTGCAGAGCACTTTACAAACATTATCTCATTTTATCCTCACGACAACCCTGGAAAATAGATGCTCTTCTTAGCCCCATTTTACAGATGAGGAAACTGAGGCAGCATTTAATGTACTTGCCCCAGGGTCACACAGCAAATAAGTGTCCAAGGCTAGATTTGAACTCTGGTCTTCTTGACTCCAGGGCCAGCACTCATTCTATCCACTGGGTCACCTAGCTGCCTTTAAAGTTCTCTACAACCTGACTCCTTCCCTCTCCATTCTCCTTAACGTATTACTAGCTTCAGGAAACTCCAGTGCAGTCATACTGAGCTACTTCCCCTTTTCCTCGCTCCGAATTCCCATTTTCATGGCTTTGCTCTGCTTGTCTCTCACGCCTGGCATGCTCTTCCTCCTCACCTCTGCCTCTTGAAAATCCCTGATTCCTTTAAGACTCTGCTCGAGCACCATTTTCTGTAGGAGGCCTTTCGTTGTCCCCTCAGTCGATCTTCTCTCACTCACTAGGTGTTTGATTCTGGGCACATCACTTAACCTCTGAAAAAAATGTGGATAACAATAGCAGGATCAAATGAAAAAAAAAAGTCACGTAAAGTGCTTTGCAAACCTGAAAGCTCTATATACATGCTAGCTAATGGTGATGATGGTATTTCCTTCCCCTCCAGTGTTACCTTGTTCTGCTTTGTATGTGTCTTGTATATACCTCTCCATGCCCATGTTATCACCCTGACTGACTGACTGTAAGCCCCTTTAGGGAAGAGACTTTTATTTTTGTCTGACACATAGTAGGTGTTCAATCACTGTTTGATCGTACAGCAGAGACTCAAACTTTGGTCTTCTGACTCCAGCTTCCCATCTAAAATGTATGCCTGTATATAACTTCAGTAATAATTATGATCTTAGTAGCACTAGCCACGTTGGGAAAGAAAGCGATATAGGAATAGTGGGATTCCACGCACACTGTCTAACCCACACAGAAAACCCATGTAACTTCATCTGGAGGTAACTTCGTGTCCATATATAATATTTATGTTCTGACCTTCTGATCCCCATTTCACCCCAAGAAAAACAGCTTAACATCTAGAATTTTAGGGAAACTCCCGCTCCTCTTCCCTCCCCAAAGAAGATGTTACACTCCTTCAGGGTCCCCATCTCCTGAATGTGCTAGTAGCACCTAGATGAAGTAATTATATTCTTAGAGGTGATAAATGAATCAGAGAAGGTTAGAAGGGAGAGGGAAATGATGGATCATCAAAGACCAATGATTTACAGATGGAAAGATGAAAGAACAGAAGAGGGATTTATACAAGGTCACACAGTCATTGGAGTCTAAATCCTGTCATCCTAAGAGCCAACAAGATCTTGAGTCTCTTATCTCCCAAACCAAGCTGCCTCCTTGCTTATGATCTCTAAACACTAATACTTTTCTGCATCCCTCCCCTTTAACTGAAAGGTCAGGGGCCATCTCCTGTCATCCTGATCTGTATCTTCCCTCTGGACCCAGATGGCTCCAGAGGAGAAAGTGAGGCTGGTGACTTTGCACAGCCCTGCCTCACTTCAATCCAATTCACTTGTAAGCCATGTCATCACCCTCCTGATGTCACAGTCCTCTTTGAGAATGAAGGGCAAACAACAACAATAATCTTTCTTAAAGACCAGGCCTTAAACCCAGTTCACTGTGGCTCTCATTGATTGGCCAACAATAGGTCCCAGCCCAAACCCCACGCAGTGGTCATTATTTGGGCCCTGTTGGCTCGGAAGGAGAAGTTGTTATTATTTAGTCATTTCAGTCATGTCCAACTCTCCGTGTCTCCATTTGGCGTTTTCATGGCAAAAGATCGGTTTGCCATTTCCTTCTCCAGCTCATTTTACAGATGAGGAATTGAGGCAAATGGGGTTAAGTGACTTGCCCAGGGTCACACAGCTAGTAAGTGTCTGAGGTCAAATTTGAACTCAGGTCTTCCTGACTTGAGGGCTGGTGCTCTGTCCACTTTACCACCTAGCTGCCCCCAAAGTTTTTAAAAGCCACTTTATATCTTTTTATAAAAGTCATTTTTTAATCTTTTAAATCCACTTACTGCTATCATTGTTTTTACATCACCTTCATGTCCATATGTAAAGTTTATGTTCCGATCTCTCCCAATATATCTCTCTCTCAGGGTTCTAGGGGGATAACCCCAAGGAGTTAGGGTGTTTCTTCTCTACTGCCATGGACTTAAGCCCCAGCTAGTTGTGCTTCCTCTCATCACCACCGTTGTTGGGGAACTAGAAACTAGCAACCCAGTTCTATTTAATCACTTAATATCAATTAGCTTTTAGACAGGGTTAGTGACTTCAGAGATGTAGAACAGCCAATGTACAGTTATTTCCTCCATCCCTTCAGGGGAGTACTCTAACCCATGCCACCTCACGTTCTGGGGAGGAGTAGATTCAAAACACCTTAGTTCCTACATAGCAGTAGTCCCACCAAGTTCACATCTAGACTGTTGTTTTGATCTCCAAGAGGACCATGACATCAGGAAGGTGATGCCATAACTTGCAAGTGAATTGTATTTAAGTGAGGAAGGGCTGTGCAAGGTCACCAGCCTCACTTTCTCCTCCACAGCCATCTGGGTCCAGTGGCCAAATATGGATCAGGATGACTGGAGATGGCCCCAGTCATCTAGATACAGAATGACTGTGGCTGATCTTGTCCCATCCCATCTTCTCCAGGAGATTGCTCACTCTACCATCTCTCCTCTCTCATTAATCTTCAATAGCTTCCTGTCTACTGCCCCTTTTCCTACTATCTATAAACATGGCCACGTTTCCACGTCCTCAAAAAAGTCCTCACTTGGTCCATCCTTCCCCACTAGTTGTCATCCTATATCTCTCCTCTATATTGTGACTGAACTCCTTGGGAATACCATTGACAATAGATCCTATAGCTTCTTTTCTTCTCACTCTCTTCTAAACTCTTTGCAGTCACTTCTTGCCTCATCATTCATCTGAAACTGGTCTCTTCAAAGTGACTGACCTCTTCATTGCCAAATCTAGAGGGCTTTTCTAAATCTCATGTTCCTTGACCTTTCTGCAGCCTTTGACACTATCAGTCACCATCTTCTCCTTGATACTTCTCTCGAGGGTTTTGTGACCCTATACTCTCCTGGTTCACCCCCTACCTCTCTGACTGATCCTTCTCTATCTCCTTTGCTTGATCTTCATCTTGCTAACTCTGGGTGTCCCCCAAGCATACTTTTTTCACTTTATTTTTCTTACTTTTTTTTTTTTGCAACATGGCTAATAAGGAAATATGTTTTACCTGACTTGACATGTACAATGGGTATTATATTGCTTGCCTTCTCAATGGACGAGGGAGGAGCTGGAGGGAGGGAGATAATTTGGAACTCAAAATTTAAAAATGAATGTTCAGTTTTTTAAAAATTAAACTTTTAAAATGAACTGTTGGGGTCCCCCAAGGCTATACCGTGGTGGATCTTATCAGCTCCATGGTTTCAAATGTCATCTCTATGAAAATGACCCTCAGATCTCCTTGTCCAGCCCTAATCTGTCTCCCAGTGTCCAGTCTCACATCTCTGACATCTTGAACAGGGTACCCCATAGTTGTCCTAAACTCAGTGTCTTAAAGTGAATTCCTTTTTTTTACCCTAAACCCCTCCCCCCATACCTTCTACCTTCCCTATTAAGGGAACACCATCGTCCGGATCCTTCGGGCTCCCAACCTAGGAGC